GCTCACAAATTTTGATTCCTCTACGTTTGTTGATGCAGGTGCTCTGATGCCTTTTACTATTGAGATTCTTAGTTGTGAAACACTTTTTGCTTTAATGTCTTCAGGATCCAGGTTACTTTTTAGTGAAATTATTTATTTTGAGATAATTGTATATTCACATGCAATTGAAAGAAATAGTACAGAGAGGTTCTATTCCCTGTTTTCCCCATTGCTGACATTTTGCAAAACTACAGTACAATATCACAACCAGGATGTTGACATTGACACTGTTAAGATACGGAATATTTCTATCACCACAAGGATCCCTCATGCTGCCAAATATAACCACAACCACTTCCTTCCACTTCCACCCTCTCCTTTATTGCCAACCACTAATGTATTCTCTATTTTATAATTTTGCCATTTTGATAATGTTATATAAGTGGAATTATAAAGTATGTTACTTTTTAGGATGTTTTCATCCAGCAAAATTATGTGGCGAGTCAACCAGATTGTGGCATGTGTTCATATTTCCTTCCTTTTTATTGCTGAGTAGTATCCCATGGTATGGATGTTCTACTGTTTGTTTAATCAATCACCTGTTAAAGGATGTCTGGGTAATTTCCAGTTTAGAGAGATTATAAATATAACTGTTCTGAACATTTATGCACAGTTTTTAAATTCTTTTCTTTTCTTTTTTTTTTTTTTTTAGGGGAAAGCACGAACACAGTCCCCCACTGCCACAAATTATGCAGTTGAGTTTCCCACATTTGGGGAAATCGCAGGGGTCAGCACATCCGGAGTGCAATGGATAAGCCTCGCCCTGGGAAAACCACCTTCGTAATCATGGAATCTCCCCTGCCAGGTAAGTATGCACAGGTTTTTGGGTGAATATAAGTCTTCATTTCTCTGAGATAAATGCCCAGGAGTGCAATTGACAGTGAATATGGTAGTTGTACGTTTAGTTCTTTAACTGCCAAACTGTTTTCCAGAGTGTCTGTACCATTCCGTATTCCCACCAGCAATGTATGAATTATCCAGTTTCTCTGCAGCCTTGTTAACATTCGGTCTTGTCACTCTTTTATATTTTAGTAATTCTGAGAAGTTTATATGATATCTTGTATATTTTTCCATTAATAAACTTTATTTCTTAGAGAAATTTTAGGTTCACAGAGAAAATAAGAAAGTACAGAGAATTTCCGTGTATCTCCTATCCCCTCACATGTACACCCTCCCCCACTATTGATATTCTACATCACAGTGAAATATTTGTTACAGTCAATGAACCTACACTGACACATTGTTATCACTCGGAGTCCAGGGTTTACACTGGGGTTTACTCTTGGTGTTGGACAAAGGTATAGTAACAGAAGTATAATGAATGCATTCGTCATTGGTGCTGTATAAAAGTATAGTAACACAAATATAATGACATGCATTATCACTTTATAATTTCACTGCCCTAAAAATTCTCTGTGCTCCATTTATTTCTCCACCCCACCTCTTAACCCTTGACAGCCATGGAACTTTTTACTGTCTCCATAGTTATGATTTCTCCAGAATGTCTTGTAGTTGGAATCACAAAGTATATAACCTTTTCAGTTTAGCTTCTTTTACTTACTAATATGCATTTAGGTTTCCTCTGTGTCTTGTCAGGACTTGATGGCCCATTTCCTTTTAGTGCTGAGTAATATTCCACTGTCTAGATGTACCACAATTTCACCTACTGAGAGACATGGTCGCTTCCAAGTTCTGGCAATTGCTGATAACGCTGCTATAAAAAATGCAAGTACAGATTTTTGTGTGGACATAAGGTTTTTTAATTCATTTGGTTAAATACCAAGGAGCACAATTTCTGGATCATATGTTAAAAGTATGTTTACCTTTCTAAGAAACTGCCTGTCTTGGGAGGCTGAGGCGGGGAATCGCTTGAACCTGGGAGGTAGAGGTTCTGGTGAGACAAGATTGCACCACTACACTCCAGCCTGGTGACAGAGCAAGACTCTGTTTTAAAAAAAGAAAGAAAGAAAAGGAAATACCAGTCTTCCAAAGTGATGACACTATTTTTGTACTCCTATCAGCAATGAATTAGAATTCTTTTTGCTCTACATCCTCACCAGCATTTGATGTTGTCAGTGATATGAATTTTGGCCATTTTAATATATGTGTAGTGATATTACATTGTTTTAATTTGTAATTTTCTTATGACATATGTTGAACATCTTGTCATATGCTATCTGTATATCTTATTTGGTAAGAGTTCATTCAGGGTGCTGTCTTTTGCCCTTTTCTTTTTTTCATTTTTTTTTCCCTAGTTTTGTTCTTGTTGCCCGGGCTGGAGTGCAATGGCATGATCTCAGCTCACTGCACACCTCCACCTCTCAGGTTCAAGCGATTCTCCTGCCTCAGGCTCCCAAGTAGCTGGGATAAAGCCTACTTAGTCATAGTGTATACCTTCTTTTATACAATGGTGAATTCCATTTGCTGAAAATTC